TATTTAATTGTAAGTAAGTAAGTATTCATTGTGATAATCTAATTTGTTCCCAATAATTTATTAAAGATGCAAAATTTTTAAAATTTGTTGAAATATTTCAAAAAATAATTAGGAAATAATTATATAAGAAATTCAATTCATTCAAATTGTAGAAAAATCAACTGTAATTTGAATTTTGTATTAATATTTAATTGTAAGTAAGTAAGTATTCATTGTGATAATCTAATTTGTTTATTAAAGATGCAAAATTTTTAAAATTTGTTGAAATATTTCAAAAAATAATTAGGAAATAATTATATAAGAAATTCAATTCATTCAAATTGTAGAAAAGTCAACTGTAATTTGAATTTTGTATTAATGAATCAAAAAACAAAAACTCAACACAATTGCATGAAATTAAAAATCGTCCAGCACTATAATATCCCTTTAAATTATGATATGAGTTATTTATTAAAAAAGTTAATTCTAGAAGAAAATATAAATGGTTCATCGTTAGTTGTATTGTATAGATCACAGAAAAATAGTACAATCTGTTTCACCATGGTGATATATGGCTCTGAGAAACTGCAAAAAAATAAATGATCTACAAATCAGATCAAATTGGATAAGATCACATCAGGTTCAAATAAAGAGTAGAAAATGTTTTTTTTTGTTTGTGTGATTCGAAAAATCATAATTAATATAATATTTTCATCTAAACTCACTTACTTGAAGTATGTAACTCTAACTTTAAATCGTTGCCTCTTAAAATTTGCATATATACTTATATACTTGTTTATTAATTAACATTTTAGCTTATGCACATACACTTACTTCTAGCTGAAGAACAAAATTAGAAATTATTAAAAAAATATTTGATAAAGTAAGTTTTAACTGACTGCATTCAAATCACATTATCTGTTTAGTACAATAACATTTTTGAATAATAACTGCTGAAATTTGCAATCTGATATCATATACTGAAGCAAGCTTTGTTTGTACAAATAGCACCACAAAAGAGGCACCAGAAATTTATATTAATACCGAAATATTATAATAATCATTATGTATAATATGTTACTCTTTTGATTATTCACTCATTCTACTCTACCGTAATTATATTTTCACAATTTTGTCCTCATCAAACCTTTGCACCATAAGGTATTTATTTATTCATTTGTTTACTTAAGTACTAACAAATAATACAAGCTTAGTTTGGATTTGTTGCATTTTCTGACGATAAATGTGCTGATACCATATGCAAATATTTTTGAAAAGTACCGATATTTGCATATGATAACTGACAGATAGGTAAATATGTACATCATATTAAATACCTTTACTTCTTGACAAATAAAAATTACAGTAAATTTATGAATAATTTTATACAATGCAATAATTTTTTATACAAAAATGAAATAGAAAAAATAATAATTAAAAATGAGACAAACTTGAGGACTAGAAGGCGGTCGAGAGTTTGGAGCAGTTATGAAGCGCTGTAGTGATGGTGGAATTGAAAGTTCTTCTAGCTGCTTTCGATTATTAATTTGCTCATCGCAAAATTTACTTAAGTAAGTAAATTTTGGCGTAGACGACCGCTGATAAGGCGTTGATAAACTACGAGGCCTTTCATATGGCATTGCCAAGTTTAAAAGTAATCAGTGATTGTATACTGCAAAAAAAATACAAAAAAATATTTTCTTTTTAAAAAAGTGAAAAATCAAAATTACAGTTATATTTTGTAAAACAATAAAAATTTTAATAAATCTTTACAGATTTTACATCATAACTTTTGATAGTCACATTTTTGGCACTTTTTTTTGGTTATTAGAAATGAATGAAGAATTTGATTTTCAAAAATATGCAATGAATCTTTTAGCGCTTCAAATTCTACATGTTTGTGAAAAATTAGAATCTTATTTTCTAGAAAATAATGAAAAAATACTATGAACTTAAAATCTTCAAAAAATATTGAATTTCAAATTTTAAAAGTAAGTAAATGTTTCAGTTTGACTGCCTGTACTAATTGCCTAAACGAAAATTCAATGAGCGATAAAACTATTAATTTAAATAATGTATTTATATTTAAAAATTATCTTACATTATTTTTGATTTAACTGCATTATTTCTAAAGGACGATTAATTTTTATAACTTAAGAAATCAAATTTATAACTTAAAAAATCAAATTTATAACTTAAGGAATCAAATTTATAACTTAAAGGATCAAATTTATAACTTAAAGAAGAATCAAATTTCGATGGAATATAAAGTATGCGGCTGTTTTTATTCAAAAATCAAAAATTGTAAAGCAAACATTGCATTTGTTAATCATCAAAAATTAATCTTTTTTTTAAAATTTTGCCAAATAAATTAGCAACATCTTTATTATTCAAATAAAAAATAAAAAAGAGCTTGTAAATTTAAAATTTAACTTAATTATGCACAAATGTAAATAAGTAAACAAGTAAAGTGAACAAATGTTATTGCAAAGTAATGCGTAAACAAAGTTGTAAGATCATTAAATAACAACAATTTTGATATGTAAATTAATATTGCTTTGATTTAAGAAACTTTAAAAGAGATTATTATATGATAAATTTTAGTATTTATATATTAACAAGAAATAATATAAGAATTATTTAATGAATTAGTTAATTAATGAGTGAGTGAGTAAGAGTATATTTGAATTAAATTGAAATAAAAGATTGTAAATGAATATACAATCAAAAGAGCGGAAATAAAACGGAAATTAGATGGGCAAAGCTTTCAAGAAAATTTTCAAGCAAATAAATAATTTCATAGAATTGGTAGAATATTCAAATTTTGATGAATAAACGTCTAATTTGATAAGTTTGCAAGGGATATAGCTTAAAAATGGTATACTAAGCTAAAATTCTTTTACTAATATAAGCAAAAGAATTCAATTCAAATCTTAAGGGAGTTTAGTAGTAGCATTAGTGGTAGTAGTGTAGTAGTAGTAGTAGTGGTAGTGTAGTAGTAGTAGTGGTAGTAGTAGTGTAGTAGTAAAGTAAGAAGAAATAGTTGAAAACGTTGCTAGCTTAAATAGAAAAGAATATATGATAGATTCAAGTGTAACATAAATTGATGCTGGATGATTCTGAAGTACTAAAAAGATAATGAAAATCAGTAAAATTAAGACAAAATGAATTTTTTATGAACTAGTCAAGTAATACAAAACAATAATCATTCTGGATTACTTTTTCTTCAGATAAAGCATTGAAACAGAAGATGTTATGAATTTGAATATTCATTTCCATTAATTAATTAAGCGATTAAACAAAACTTTCACTTCAATGATACTAAATTGAGGACAGAATAAAATAAAAGATAATATTTATTATCATTATCATTATGACAACAATGGTAATGATAATGATAATTAATAATAATAATAATAATAATAATAATAATTTTGTTATGAATGCAATTATTGTATAATTCATCGCAGTAGCAATGTAGTCAGTTTAGAAATGAAAAAATATCACCAAAAAATGCAAACTGTTTTGAAGAAAAGTTAAACTAATATATGCATATATTAGCTTATCTTTTAACAAAAGCTTCGAATATTTTTATTAGTTATTTTAAAAATTTTTTGCAATTCTTGAAAATTTTTGCATTTTTTTGAACAAAAAGTTTTAAAAATTGTCAGAACAAATATATTTTTGAATGTTAAATTTTGCAAATAGCTAAGTTAGCTACAAATGTATACGTAATTATACATAAAAAATACTAAATTTGATAAATATTAAATTTTTATTTTTTTGCTTTTTTTTTTCATTATTAAAAAGTAAGTTCTGAAAAAGGTTAAAAAGAGATTTGATGAAGTGATGCATCAATAGAGATCAAAACTTGTAAGACCAAATATTAGCATGAAAAGTTTTTTTCATAAGGTGAAAGGTCAGGATGAGATTAAAAGTTGCACAAGATGGTAAAAAAGTATGATAAGAGAGTGATAATATAGTAAAATGAGTGATAACGAAACTGCAGCAGCTATCTTAATAAGGGACATTCACTACTACAAAGAGTTTGCTCATTTTACTGCAATTGACCTCCCGCCCATCGAGAGAACGAACCTACCCGCCCATTGAGGGAAACCGGAGCCAACAAACTGTTATCGTTCGGAGTCATCTCATCTCTGCTGCCTCTAATTTTCCTTCCCTATTACCTCTGACCCCTCTCCTTTCAACTCTGATCCTCAACCTCTTAGCGGAACTTCTTTTCTTCTGCTTCAAAAAATTAAACCGCCTTTTCAGTCCACGTGTTCAACTGTCTTTCTTCACTTTACAAAATCACTTAGCATTTGCTTCTTTTATTTCTCTACGGCACCTTTGTTCTCCTACAAACTATTTTATGCAGATCAATCAATTAATTATTTAGTTCAAACCCTGAAGGTTAAAGTTCAACAGTCAGTTGCTTTAATTCTCTCTAGTGTTTACATTCTCACAACAATTATCAATGAATTTCCTCTAAAAATCTACAAATTAAAATTAAACAAATCGAGTACTGCAGGTAACAAATGAAGAATTAATAAACTGACAAGCAGTTAGATTAGTGTAGTAATTTGAAAAAAAGTTATTCTTCAGTGATCAGTGCAAAGGTCATAGGACAGCTTATCACAATTTTTATTACTTTTTGAGATGATATTTCGTTCACCAACTTTTCTTCTTGAAATGCAGTAACTTACATTTATATATATCTATCTTTATTGCATTAGAATATGTGCGCAAAGTGAAACAACACACAGTTCATTATTCATAACGATGAGTATCCATAATAATATCCACTAGTTATTAAGCATATAAAAAATAGAAATGAAATTAACTTTGATAATGAAAGTATTTAATAGCACTTTATTTTTATTTATATTTATTTTTATAAAAAGCTAATCACAATAGCACTAAATCTGATTGTTAAGTAATGATAAATGATAATAGCTCAAAAAATAATGTGCTTTTTTGTAGATTCAAATCAAACAAAGTACAATAAATCTCAGTAATGCAAATATATTTTATCACTAAATTGAAAATATTATCACACTCTATCAGTAAATAAAAGATAAAGATAAAACTACTCGACAATTAATTGATATACAAAGAGAAAAAATGTTTAAAACTTGTATTGCATTTGCGCCTTATATTTCCATACTTTTCAATCATAGCCAAGAAAATTAACGATAATCAGAAATGATTTTATTGTATTTACTAACAGTCATATCACATTGTCACTGTTATCATTTTATTACAATCTATCATATCAGATATACTATATAATGGCATTAATTTGTACATATTCTTCAGCTCAAACGCCATTTGAGAAGTAATCTTTTTATTAAATCTAATAAATACAATATCAAAAACAGTTTACACTGTTTGATTAATATTATCATTCAATTAATATTATCATTTTAATTAATATTATTAATCACATATATAATGTAATTAATATTATCATTATATATATATACATGAATTTAATCTAATTGTTAATGAAAATTAATAATTAGATTAAATAAGAATAATTATAATATTACAATAAAAGTATTTTTGTTGAGATTAAGTAAAATTTCTTGATAAAATTTGAATAGATTATTACTTGCGAGAAAAAATAAAATAAATCGTTCTGCTATTTAGCATAAAAGTATGCAATAAATAAAATAAATCAGTGCTATTTTGGTTTTGTAATTATTCTTTCTGTCTATCTTATTTATTCATTGCATTAATCTACTTTAATTTTAAATATTATGCTTTGTTTTTCTGCCTAACAAACTGACAATTGCAAAAATAACTAAATAAATAATAGAAATTTAATAAAATTGACTGATTAATGGGTATAGAATAGAAATACATAGCTAGCAAAATATTTACTACTGCAAATAGAGCAGTAAAATAGCATCAATCAGCACTGAAATTAACATTTATGCATGTATTTATATTAAATATTATATATATATATATATATCTGTTTATTTATTTTTATTTAGAAGTAATTTCTTTAATTAATGCATATTATAAAACACGTGTGCGATAAATTAATGAAATACATTATTACACCAAATAATTAATGCTTTCAAGAAATGCTTCATTTTGCAATCGCAAATTTTAATATTAAAAAATTAAGTATTAGATTAATAAGTACTGTATTACTGAATAAGTAATAAGTATTAAATAAGTATCACCACTGCATGATAATAGTAATAAAAATCAAATAATATGCAGAAGACATTCTCTTGAAAATTAAGTCTTAATTAAAAAAATTGACAATTTTATATAATTTAAAGAGAAAATTTACAGTCACGTTTATTGTCATTACTGTTGTATTTATGATTATTGTATAGTCATATAACAATAATTACAGCATTAATCATTAGGAAAATGATTACTGATCAGTGATCATATAATATCAGCATAATGAATAATTTTTAAACAGGAGTAAATTCAAATATTTTGTTGGTAAAATTATGCTTTTATCATTTTTAGTGAACAATATAAGTGAATAAATAATAATAGTAATTGATAAGTATAATTATATTAAGTCAGATCAATAGAATTGGTGGCTTGAAGAAGGCGCAAATTGTATGCATTTAAAACTGCATCATCTAAACTGATAACAATAACAATC